CCAGATATACTTGGTGGATAATGTGGGAAGACAGGCAAGTCAGATGTGTACGTCAAGGGAATTTGATTTTAGGGGAAAACAGCCAATGAACTCAATTGTATGCTGTTGCCTGCTATGAAGCACTTTTATAGCCCACCAGGTAGATGCCTTCAAGTCACCAGCGACTGGCCTTGACTTCCCTCCAATCATTACCCCAACAAAGAATGAACTTTGATGAAACTAGACAAGCTCAGCAGTAACCAGAGGAGTTCAACAGTGTCATCAGCTGGCAACAATCCAACACTACACGCCGTCTCTCCTGCCCTGAAACAGTTACAAGAGATGGAGCCAGACAGCATGGACTGGATGAATTCAGCAGCTTTATAGGGATTGGTCCATGTACTAAGGAATGATATCTCTCTATTTGTGTGTGTGTAAATATATATATAAAACAGACAAAAGTGATGGTGTATTGAAAAATGTGGGATCTAAGCATGACATGAATAGTATGGAATAACATGTGGATAGTGTCCTGGGTTCAGCAGTAGCAGTCATTTTTTCTCCTTCTTAGTAGCTGGTGCAGTGCTGTGTTTTTGACTTTCAGCCTGGTAACAATGCAGTTAACACCAATGTTTTTAGTTGATACTAAATAAGGTTTACTCTGATCAAGGACTTTCTCCTAGACAAATTGACTGCTGGATAGGTTTACACTTCATGGGGTAAAAAAATCCAGATGCATGGCAGAGCCCAAAGAGTGGTGGCAATTGGTGTCACAACTAGTTGACAACTAGTCACTAGTGGTGACCTTCCAGGCTTGTTATTAGGGGCAGTGTTGTTTAATGTTTATTGACGACCTGGATGAGGGGATTGAGTACACCCTCAGTAAATTTGCAGATGACACCAAATTGGGTGGTAGCGTTGATCTGCTGGAGGATAGGAAGGCTCTGCAGAGGGATGTGAACAGGCTAGATCAACGGGTTGTGGTCAACTGCATCAAGTTCAACAAGGCAAACTGCCAAGTCCTGCCTTTGGGCAGTGGCATGCTGGCCTGTATCAGCACCAGTGTGGCAGCAGGGCCAGGGCAGTGATTGTCCCCCTGTACTGAGTACTGGTGAGGACATGCTTCGAATCCTGTGTTCAGTTCCAGGCTACGAGAGAGAGACTGAGTTGCTGGAGCGGGTCCAGAGAAGGTGAAATGATACACTGATATATTTCCAAGTAAACTAGAATTGGGACATTTATTTTTTAAAAGATTCTTTCCTGCAGGTCCCCTCTGAGCCTTCTCTTCTCCAGAATAAAGAACCCCAGTTCCCACTCTTCATAAGACTTCTGTTCCAAGCCCTTCGTTGGGCCTTTCACTTTGTTGCTGGAAGCTTCGTTGCCTTTCACTGAGTTGCTGGAGCAGATTCAGAATCTCTATTGTAGTGAGGGGCCCAAAACTGAACACAGGATTTGAGGTGCAGCCTTCACAAGTACACAGACCTCTGGGAAAATGAAATGGACAGTTAAAAATTACACTGAGAGCATCAGGTGGTAGGACTTTCAAACACTGAGATATGCATTTAGCACAAGCCACCTAGTTGGTCAACACTAGGGGATCTGCCAACAGGACTGAGCTTTCCCAATCAAAATTATTTCATACTGTAAAGGGAGATAAAGTTCCTGCAGTGCATGTAAAGTTGTAAAGTATCCACTGGGGAAAACAGTCTGGGTTATTCCTGACTCAAGCAAAGGCAAAGCCACACTTGGGATTGCTTTTGCTCAAGGACCTGGGTGCAGTTGGTGGGGAATGCAGGAGGATGGGCAAGACCCGTGTGTACCTCAAGAGGATTTGATTTTGGGGGAAAACAGCAACTGAACTGAACTGTATGATGCTGTACAACACTGAATATTATCACTTCCAGGGCTGCTATATATCCATCACTGTGCTGGATGCCTCGTAGCACCCATCTCCAACTCTTTGGATTTGAGGATCTGATCACCACATTAATGAAAAATGAACTTTGATAAAACTGAACAGGTACAGTGGTAATGGAACTTGAACTGGCTTCAGCAGGCCACAATCCAACACCACACACCATTTTTCCTGCCTGGAGAGACTGTTATGATAAATGGAGCCCAAATCATGGAGTGAATTAACTCAAGGAACTTCTCTAGCGATGTTCCATCGACTAAGGGAATGGAATGGTATCTGTATGAGTGTGATTATATATCTTTATTAAAAGACAGAAAAGATGATGGTGGGAAGTATAAGACCTGGCATGACATAAGGGGTTGTCCTGGGTTCAGCAGTAGCAGTCATTTTTTCTCCTTCTTAGTAGCTGGCGCAGTGCTGTGGTTTTGACTTGCGGCCTGGGAACAGCACTGATAACACCAATGATTTTAGTTACTGCTCAAATGTTTAGCCTGACCAAGGACTTTGCGAATCTCATGTTCTGCCATGGAAGAGGGGAAGCCGGGAGGAAGCAGAGACAGGACACCTGACCCAATCTAGCCAAAGGGGTATTCCATACCACAGCACGTCACGCCCAAGATGTAGAACTGGGGGCAGTTACCCGGAAGGGCGAGTTCACTGCTGGGTGGGGCGAGTTATTGGTCAGTGGGTGCTGAGGTGTTGTATTCTCTTCCCTTGTTATTTTCTTTATCATTATTATTATTGGTGGTAGCATTAGTGATTTGTGTTATACCTTAATTACTAAACTGTTCTTATCTCAACCCGTGGGAGTTACATTCTTTTAAATTCTCCTCTCCAATCCTCCAGGAGTAGGGGGAAGGAAAGAAGGGGGAAGTGAGAGAGAGACTGCGTGGCTGATTTATGGCTGACTGGGTTTAAACCACGACAGGGGTAGATACTGTCGTGGTTTCATCTGCCATTCTTCCTAGTAGCTTTTGCAATGCTGTGTTTTGGCTTTAGTCTAAAAATAATGCTGATAAAACACTGATGTTTTAGTTGTTGCCAAGTAGCACTTCCCCAATCAAGGACTTTTCAGTCTCTCATGCTGTGCAGTAAGGAGGGGCACAGGAAGCTGGGAGGAAGCAGAGACACCTGACCCAAACTAGCCAAAGGGGTATTCCATACCACAGCAGGTCATGCCCTGTATAGAAACTGGGGGGAGTTACCCAGAAGGCCCAGATCGCTACTCAGGTCGGGCTAGGTATCAGTCAGCTGGTGGTGAGCAATTGTATTCTCTCCCCTTGTGATAACTGGGGAGGAAGAAGGGGGGGTATGGGTGGGGAGAGGGAGTGAGCTGTGTGGTTCTGAGTTGCTGGCTAGGCTTAAACCACAACACTTAGTCACAGTGAATGGAAAGTAGCTGAGATTCAAATTATTGACAAGTCAAGCAAGTAGGGAAGAAGGCCAGCTTGGCTGCGCAGGGATCTTCTTCTAGAACTTCGGAGGAAAAGGAAAGTGTATGGACATTGGAAGCAAGGACAACTGACATGAGAGGATTACAGAGATGCTGTTTGCCATTGCAGGGAGATTTCTGTGGCCAAAGCCCAATTAGAGTTCAAGCTGGCCAGTACTGTGAAGGACAACAAAAAGTGCTTTTTTAAAATATGCCAGCAGCAAAAGGAAGATCAGAGATAATACCGGTCTGCTACTTGATGAGGTTGGTCACCTCACAAATAGGGATTCAAATCAGAAATATTCAATGCCTTCTTTGCTTCTAACACTGGTGATATGCCCTGGGACCCCTGAAGCCCTGTGTTGGAAGGCCATGACTGGGAGGGAATGATAAACTCCCAGCTGACCCTGAACTTGTTTGAGACTTGATGTACATAAAAATACATGGCCCAATCGGATTTATCATTGGGTACCGAAAGAACTGGCTAACATTATCTCAGGACCTCTCCATTATTTTTTCTGGAGAGGTCCCAGTCGACTGGAAGCTAACAATGACTAGAGCCTAGCAAATGTTGTCCCAGTTTTTAAGAAGGGTTAGAAGGAAGCCCCTGATAATTACAGACCTATCAGTCTCACTTCAGTTCCTGGTAAAAATATGGGGATTATTCTGGAAGTCAATGAAAAAATTTTGAGAGACAAGGCAGTTGTTGGTCAAAGACAGCACAGGTTCACAAGGGAAAAGTCCTACTTAACCAACTTAATTTCCTTTTATGACAAGGTCACCCATCTAGTCGGCCAAGAGAAGTCAGTAGATGTGTGGGGTTGGTTTTTGTTTTTTTCTTTTGTTTTTTTTTTTTTGTTGTTGTTGTTTTTTTTATTTTATTTTTTTCTAAATAACGAAACGTCCAGCACACAACTACATAAATCCATTATACACTGTCTGAACAACTAGCTGATGATAAGTCAGACTCTGTATAACCCAGAGGTAGAAGTTTCATTGTGCTAGGCATTGTAGTTAAATTCAACACGTTGAAGGAATGCCTATCCTGTTTCTGAAAACATAACAGATGTTTTGCGTGCTACATACTTTAAAAATACCTGACCTTTAAGTCCTTTAGGAAAAAGGACAGTAAGAGTTCATTGGAAGAGATAAGGCATAGATCAGGAAATGTAAATCAAAATAGTGATGAACAGTAGAGCCTTAAAAGACAAGGAAACAAAAGCCAGTAATCAGATACAATAAAAGCAGCCAAGTGATGAAAGAGATAAGCCTAAAAACCAGAATTATAACCTAGGAGAGCGAACTCTAAGACTAAAAAGTTTAACATCTAGGACATCTACATAAGAATCAATTCAACAATCAGTGACAGAGGATGGCCAAAACTATTAAAAAGTCACTCAAAACATAACACAAGCTAGAGAGCTCAAGAAAGGTTCACAGTTGCTAGCTCCCAGTCCTCTAAACTTTTACATATGAAGGATAAGTAAATCAACTCTTTTGGAACATATTTAAAACACAGCTTTAATCTTGCAGCTTTTATCTGTCATAAATACCTTGAATACATTAATGACTGTATAGTGAAGCTTACAACACCCTACAAGCACCACCAGTTCTAATGAGGGAGTGAAAGAGGAAATAAGGAAAAAACAAAACAAAACACCAAAACACACATACCTTGTGTTGTTCTATTGCATCTACCCACTGCTGTCTGTGGTCTGGGTCCTGAGCTCGGAGATACCAAATACTATCATTTACACTAATATCAAATCTGCATTCGTCAAAGTCATGGGGCTGTGAATGAAGAGAGGGTAAAAACATGATCAATAACATCTTAAACTCTAAAATACTATAATTAGAAAACCTGACTGATACTGCCTTGAATTCATCCCAGATTCTAAACTCCAATTAATGTAGCTGTCAAAAAATGAACATACACTTTCTACACTGGAGGGAAGGAATGCCATCCAGAGGGACCTTGACATGCTTGTGAAGTGGGCTAATGCCAATCTCATGAAGTTCAATCAAGCCAAGTGCAAGGTCCTACACCTGGGTCGGAGCAATCCCAGGCACAGTTACAGGTTGGCCAGAGAAGAGGTTCAGAGCACCCCTGAGGAGAAGGACTTGGGGGTGTAGGTTGATGAGAAAGTTAACATGAGCCAGCAGTGTGCGCTCACAGCCCAGAAAGCCAGCCGTATCCTGGGCTGCATCAAAAGGAGCGTGACCAGCAGGTCAAAGGAAGTGATCCTGCCCCTCTACTCTTGTCTCGTGAGACCTCACTTTGAGCACTGTGTACAGGTCTGGTGCCCTCAGCATAAAAAGGACATGGAAATCTTGGAACAAGTCCAGAGGAGAGCCACGAGGATGATCAGGGGGCTGGAGCACCTCCCGTATGAAGACGGGCTGAGAAAGTCGGGGCTATTCAGCCTGGAGAAGAGAAGGCTGTATGGAGACCTCATAGCAGCCTTCCAGTATCTGAAGGGGGCCTATAAGGATGCTGAGGAGGGACTCTTCATTAAGGACTGTTGTGATAGGACAAGGGGTAATGGGTTAAAACTTAAACAAGGGAAGTTTAGATTGGATATTAGGAGGAAGTTCTTTACTGTGAGGGTGGTGAGGGGAATGGGCTGCCAAGGGAAGTTGTGAATGCTCTATCCCTGGCAGTGTTCAAGGCCAAGTTAGATAGAGCCTTGGGTGACGTGGTCTAGCGTGAGGTGTCCCTGCCCATGGCAGGGGGGTTGGAACTAGATGATCTTAAGGTCCTTTCCAACCCTAACTATTCTGTGATTCTATAATGAGAAGTCCCAGTCTTCTGAAACAGAAATGGCTGTTTAGCACATTCTTATGAAACAAAATTGTCACAAAAAAGTTCCACACAAACACTGACCAAGCTTTCATACTTCTAAAGGAATCCTTTAGCAAAATAAATAGTGGATACAGCCAGCAATATATACATTTTTAAAAATAAAATTTCAAAGCAGGAAAGAGAAATCTATGTTATTTCTATCAATGTTGATTTCCACTGGTTCACAGTTATTAACAAAACAATACTATATACTGCTATAAGGATAACTGCAGCTTACAATACACCAGTGTTATACACCATAATAACATATACAAATTGAGTGAAGACAAACATGCTTGCCTAATTAAGTTCCAGTCACATTTCAGCCATATTCCATGTAACTTCTAATGCTAATTTTCACATTCATCCTACTAGAACACCAGATTTACTTTTCTGTGGGCTAAATTATCACAGCCATAAGACCTCATAAGAGAACTATATTCATAAATGAGTCATTTTACAATGAAAGCAAATATTACGTACTACCTGTTTTATTTCCTCTAATAGAACTTGCCTTGAGTTTGCATGGCAAGGCTTTGGCAGCAGGCAAGCTACATGGGTAGCTTCTGTGGGAAGCTGCTAGAAGCTTCCCCTATGTCTGATGGAATCAATGCCAGGAAGTTCCAAGACAGACCCACTGCTGGCCAAGGCTGAGCAAATTGGTGACAGTGGTAGCAATATGGTAAATATGCGATAACATATTTATGGGGGAAAACCTATTATGCAAGAACAGCAGCAGCCAGAGAGGAGTGAGAATATGTAAGAGGAAAAACTCTTCAGACAACAAAGTCAGTGAAGGAGGTGCTTCAGGCTCCAGAGCAGAGATTCCCCTGCAATTCATGGTGAAGACCATAGTGAGGCAGGCTGTCCCCCTGCATCACATGGAGGTCCACAGTGGATCAGATATCCACCTGAGGCCCATAGAGGATGCCTGATGGAGGCTGTGAGCCTGTGGGAAGACTGCAGAGGAATAGGGGTCAGGTGCCCTGTCTCTGCTCCCTCCTCCCTGCTTCCCGTGCCCTTCCTCACTGCAGAGCACGAGACTGAAAAGTCCTTCATCGGGGTAAGCACTGTTTAGCAACAACTAAAATATCGGTGTTTTATTATCAATGGTCTCAGACTAAAGCCTAAACACAGCACTGCACCAGCTGTTATAAGAAAATTAACTCTATGCCGAGGATGCATGGAGCCTCTGGACCAGTCACAATAGGGTGCTTTTGCCACTCCCTCCCAGTAAGGCTGATTTCAGCCTCCAGCACAGTCAACTCTTGGGATCCTCCTGTCACTCCAGAAATATAGATGGGTTCCACCCCTTGACAGCTTGATGGCATCAGGGTACACTGTGCACCGGTATCTACTAGAGCCTTATACTTCTGTGGGACTGATGTGCCAGGCCATCTGATCCACACAGTCCAGTAAATCCGACTGTCCCCTACCTCCACCTGGCTGGAGGCAGGGCCCCTCTAATGGTCGTCACAGGTCGTGTTGAAAGGGATTATTCTTCATTATCACAGGAGCTGGAGTAAAATCAGCTCTTCCACTCCATCTGGGAAACTGCTCACCAGAGACTGAAGCCGTAGCTCTCATGGGACGATCAGTCTTGGCCCTTGCTCCCCTCTTCAGTTCACTCACCCGTTCCTCCAAAGCTGAAGTAGGTTTTCCATCCCACTTTGTCATGTCTCCTCTGTGATCCAGCAGGTAAAACCATAGGGTACCCCGTGGCGTATACCTCCTGTATCTCCTCTCTTGAACAATAGGACGCCTTTTGTTAATAGCTGAGACGTGTGTTGGTACACGTGAGGAGCTGGATAAATCAGATAGATCGTCCCTCAATTTGTCGAGGTCCTGGGACAGTTTTTTCACAGCTGAGATGATGGAAGGAGTGAGATTGTCTTCGAACTCTCGGAGTTTATGAACCATTTCATCCACTGTTAGTGGTACTATGTCATTCCAGGTCACTGTTGCCAATGAATGGGCATATGATGACGGTGCATTCCGTGTAAGTTTTCGCCACATGGGTCGTGTACATTCAACATCATCTGGATCTATAGGTGTATCCCCTTTATTCGGCTTGATGTGATAGAGCATCTCTACGATGGCCGATTCCCTCAGAGACTGGATGCCTTTGTCTATAGTAGTCCACTTGGCCGAATGACTCGTAACATCGTCCTTGTACGGAAACCTTTCTTTCACAGCTGCCAAGAGCCTCCTCCAAAGGCTGAGGGACTTTTTCTCTCTTGCAATTGCTTTGTCAATTCCCCCTTCTCTAGCAAGTGATCCCAGCTGCTTGGCTTCTGTACCTTCTAGTTCGTGACCATCGGCCCCATTGTCCCAGCATCGGAGTAACCAGGTGATGATGTGCTCCCCTGGTTGACGGGTAAAATCTTTTCGCGTATTCCGCAGCTCGGTTGAGGTCCGAGGTCGAGAAGTTACCTCTTCTTCTTCTTCTTCGTCATGTGATGATGACTCCTGATCAGATTCTGGACCGGGTGGTGAATTCATTGGTTCTTCATCTCACTTCACCCTTTTTGCCTCCTTTTTGCTTGTTCTCTTGCATACAGGGGCAACTGATATTGGTACAAATTGGTCCTCTGGTTTGGCTGCAGTGATTATCACTGTGGTTTGAGTAGCGACTGTACTTGTTGCTGGGGGTGGTGTAGCTACCGTGCTTGGAGCTGGGGTAACCGCGCTGTCTGTTGCAGTTGAAGTTTGAGCAGCTGCTGTACTTGCCACTGGGGTAGCTGCTCTGTTCATTGCAGCCAAAGTTTGAGTAGCGACTGTCACTTTGCCCTCAAATCCGCCAACATTCTTTTCCTTTTGAAGGCGCTGGATAGTGTTGAACAAGGCCCTGTAAGCATAGGCCAAGACCCAGCACGTTGCCGTAATTTGTCCATCTCTGGTATGGCCAGAATGACCACACACCTCATTTAAGTGTTTTACTAATTCTTCTGGATTTTGCAGTTGTTCGGTAGTGAAATTCCAAAATACTGGAGGGGCCCACTGACCTAGATACTTGCCCATACTATCCCACACACCCTGCCACTCATGGCTGTCCAGCCTCTGGGAAAATCTCTCGGTCCTCCTACATCGTCGTTTGACCCCAGACAAGACCCAAACCTGAATCTGCTTAACTCTTGAAATCAGTAGTGGGCAAAACACACTCTGTATGCCTGTTAGCATGGTGATTCCCATCACCATCAGCAAACAAGTCTCAACAGCATTAAAAGGCCATTCAAAAAATTCAAAACTCTCAAATGTAAATGGTCTGGGGGGACGACTAGGAGGGTAAAAGGATGTCTCCTTCACAGGTTGAGCACCTGAGGAGGAGAAAAAAGATGTGTAATTGCTAAGCACCTCCATCATATACCTCCCAAAGTATAAAGGTGGTGACCACACTGGGAACATAAGCCAGATCAGTTTCATGATCAATGATTCTATTGTATTACAAGTCATTACCATAAAGTACAATGGGATAAAAACCTTAGCCCAAGCCCCACACTTGAAAAACACTAATACAGCCAATACCGGATGGACGTAAGATATGATATACTGAAACTGTGAGATCAAGAGGAAAAACCTTGAGAGCCAATAAATCAGCATTGTGACGAGTGACTATCAATCCAGTCAGATCTGTTCTTATCTCAACCCCTCGTGCCCCACGTTGGGCGCCAAAAAGAACTGTCGTGGTTTAAACCCAGTCAGGTAACTCGTTCACTCACTCCCAGTGAGTGGTGCCGAGCTGACAACAATCAAGGTCCGTGTCCATCTCCCCCCCCCCTGCACCGGGGCTCTCCCCTTCCCCGCTCCCGGAGGAACGGGGAGGAGGATCGAGAGAGTGCAACTCCTACGGGTTGAGACAAGTCCAGCAACAAATCACCACCGCTACCATCAGCTAAAACAACGATAAGGGAAAATAACGAGGGAAGAGAATACGATACCACCGGCCAAG